GACTTGGGAGTTGACCAGGTGTTGACCAGAGAGTTGACCGGGGTTTGACCGTGTTGACCAAGGTGTTGACCGGAGCTGTTGACCACGATTTTGATCAAGCTGGAGCGGGTATAATCTCGCCAAGCCCTTAGCCTATCCCCTCGCCCTATGGATGTGCACTTACCCTATGGAACTTGCTCAGTCTGAGTCTGTCTGTCTCTTCTTTCTGCATTGAGTCTCTTCAGTCCAGGTGATAGGACTCCGTGTACGAAGGATAGGGCCTCGTTGACCAAACCCACACGGGCTGAGTAGGGCTAAAGGCTGTGCCTGACGACTCGACTGTCCAGGAGGACACGAACCCTCTCAAGGACCGGTACTGACCGGCGGGCTGCTCGGTGTGGCACGGTAGGCCCAAAATCCGAGTTGTGGGCTGCACAACGGGCCGTCTAAGTCTTGAGAGAACCTGCCGATCGCGTCGTCCTAGCTGCGACGTTAAAGAATTCCTGAGGTGTTACCGGGGATTTCCTTAAATGCCTCCTAATCAGCAATAGGTTCTGTAGTGACGGCTGTAGTTTAGAGTCTAGGCTAGAGACCATAGTTGGCAGGGTTCGATTCGAATCATGTGGTCCTTAGATTGAGTCGGTCTTAAGTCGAGTCAGTTAGGGGGAGAGCCTAAGTGGTGAGGAGTGGAACCGTCACTTGGTTGTGTGTCTATCACCATGGTTGACACGCGTACAGGAATGAGCACCTCCCCTTACACAGCAGAACAAGAGGTGAAAGCCGCCGCCATCCTGAAAGAGAGAAGAGAGAAGGAGGCCAAGAAGAAGGCCTTGCTGGAAGAACAGGCGACGAAGATGAAGAAGATTGAGAAAGAGATGGTGAGAGAAATGGAGAGGTTGCAAAAGGAGGAGGAAGAAAAACTCCGAGGGGTAGAGGCAGAAGAAGAGGTAGAAGAACAGCCAATGGAGAGGAGAAGGACAAGAGAAAGAGCAGGACCCAGTGGGCGGGATGCAGACGAAGATACACTCAAGCGGCAGACAATCGAAGATGAGAAGAGGATGGAGTGGAAAGATACATTTAAAGTCCGACTACCATCAAATTGCCATTAGACCCAAAGACCATCATAAAACCGCATTTCAGACCAGGTTCGGTCTGTACGAGTTTGTGGTGATGCTTTTTGGCCTTTGCAATGCGCCGGATACATTCCAACACGGCATGAATAGGGCATTCCATGACTACTTGGATAAGTTTATGTCGTGCGCATCGACGATATTCTTATCTTTAGTAAGACTGTCGAGGAGCATGCGCAACACTTAGATCTTGTGCTAGGCCTCCTTAGACAACACAAGTATAAGATCAATCAGGAGAAATGCGAGTTTGGATGCACTCAGATATTGTACTTGGGTCATGAGGTATCCCCGGACGGAGTTAGGCCCGAAGATGCAAAGGTGGCTAGCATTCGTGACTGGCAATGACCTCAGTCTGTGACCAAGGTCAAAATCTTTCGTAGGGATGATTGGCTACTACCGCAACTTCGTCATATGTGGGACGAAATGTATTTGATCCATATATTAAGACCATATAATCGCTACAAATGATAAAGGTATGTATTCCATTCTCCATTCGGCGGACGTGCTTTATTTATGCATCTTTCTACGCTTCGTCTTAATGCGCCGCGAGTGCCCTACCTGTACGCTTT